CACCTAAAAATTTGTTCAACACACTTCAGAACATGTTCATCACACCTCAGAACATGTTCATCGGAACTGAAAATTTGCTCATCGCACCTAAGAACATGTCGATCACTACTGAAAACTTGCTCATTGCAACTTAGAACTTGTTTATCGCACCCAAAAACTGGATCATTATACCTTAGAACTTGTTCATCACAGATGAAACTTGTTCTACGCACCTCAAATCTTCTCATTGCACCTCAACATGTTCACCGCTAAAAAGAACTTGCTCATCGCACCTCAATACATTATCATCACACCTCAAAACTTGCTCTTCACACCTCAAAACTTACTTACTAAAACCTCAGAACATGTTCAACACAAAAAAACAAGCTCATAACAGCTTAGAACATGTAATCACACAAGTAAATTTGCTCATTGTACCAAAGAACATCATCATGGCACTTGTAAACATGATCATTACACTTGAGAACATATTCATAGAACCTGGAAACTTGCTCAACGCACCTCATAACTTGTTCGTCGCATTTGTAAACTTGCTCATTGCCCCTTAGAAAATGTTCACTAGACCTGAAAATATGCTCATTGCAGCTCGGACCATTTTCATCTTAGAATGAAAACTTGTCCAATGAACTTCAGAACATGTTCCTCTCACTTGAAAAGTTACTCACCACACCTCAGAACATGTTCAACGTAACTGTAATGTTGCTTATCAAACCTCAAAAAATGTTCATTGTCCCTGAAAATTTGATCATCACACTTCAAAATATGCTCAACGACCTAAGAACATGTCGATCACACCTAAAAACTTGCTCATCACACCTAAGAACAACTTTATTGCACCTAAAAACTTCATCATCTTAAATTAGAAAATGTTCATCAGACAAGAAAACTTGTTCCTCGCACCTAAGAACTTCTTCGTCACACCTAAAAACTGGCGAATTGCAGATCAACATGTTCACCCCACAAAAGAACTTGCACATTGCACCTCAGAATTTGATCTTCACACCTCAAAACTTCCTCCTCACACCACAGAACATGTTCCTCACACCTCAAAATTTGCTCATCACACCTCAGAACATGTTCATCGCATTATAAACTTGCTCATTAAGCTTTAGAACATGTTTGTGACACATGGAATTTTCCTCATTGCACCTTAGAACATCATCATGGCACTAGAAAACAAGTTCATCGCACCTAAAAAGTTACTCACCACACCTCCGAACATGTTCATCGGAACTAAAAATTTGCTCATCGCACCTAAGAACATGTCGATCACACCTGAAAATTTGCTCATCGCAACTTAAAACATGTTTATCGCACCCTAAAACTGGATCATCTTACCTTAGAACTTGTTCATCACAGATGAAACTTGTTCCACACACCTCAAATCTTCTCATTGCACCTAAAAATTTGGTAATTGCACTTCAACATGTTCATCGCAAAAAAGAACTTGCTCATCGCACCTCAGTACATTATCATCACACCTCAAAACTTGCTCCTCACACCTCGAAACTTGCTTATTAAACCTCAGAACATGTTCATCACAAAGAAAATAAGTTCATTGCAGCTCAGAACATGTTATCACACAAGTAACTTGCTCATTGTAACAAAGAACATCATCATGGCACTTGTAAACATGATCATAGCACTTGAGAACATATTCATAGAACCTAAAAACTTGCTCAACGCACCTCAAAACTTGTTCGTCGCATTTGAAAACTTGTTCATTGCAGCTCGAACCATTTTCATCTTAGAATGAAAACTTGTCCAATGAACTTCAGAACATGTTCCTCTCACTTTAATAGCTACTCACCACACCTCAGAACATGTTCAACGCAACTGTAATGTTGCTTATCAAACCTCAAAAAATGTTCATCATCCCTGAAAATTTGATCATCACACTTCAAAACATGCTCAATGACCTAAGAACATGTCAATCACACCTAAAAACTTGTCATCACACCTAAGAACATGTTTATTGCAACTAAGAACTTCATCATCTTAAATTAGAAAATGTTCGTCAGACAAAAAAACTTGTTCCTCACACCTAAGAACTTCTTCGTCGCACCTTAAAACTGGCTAATTGCAGATCAACATGTACACCCCACAAAAGAACTTGCACATTGCACCTCAAAATTTGATCATCACACCTGAAAACTTGCTCCTCACACCTCAGAGCATTTGCATCACACAAGGAAATATGCTCATCGCACCACCTAACATGTTCGTCACAAAAGAAATTTGCTTATTTTACCTCAGAACATTATCATTGAAATTAAAAACTTGTTCATTTTTCCTTAAAAGAAGTTTATCGCACCTAAACGCTATAAAAAGGGGGGCGGACTAGCATGGAGCCACCACTCAATTTTGGGGACAATAAACACAGCAAGCAAGGGAGAAAGAAAGCAGATTTGGAGTAGCCGAACCTCTCTTCTCTTCTCTTCTCTATTCTCTGATTTTTCTTGAGTTTTCACCATGACAATGCGTGACTAAGCTCTAATACTTGGTTGAAGGAAACAGAAGCCTCAGAATCAACCAAACTGTGAGATCTAATTTGATTTTTTTTGTTTGGTTTATGCTCAGAATCCACCAAAACTTGCTTATTATATCTTCGAAGCAAAGAACATGTTCATCACACATGAAAACTTGCTTATTTTATCTTCAAACATTTTCATCGCACTTGAAAACTTGTTCAATGCACCTCTGGACATATTCATCGCACCTAAAAGGTTACTCACCACACCTCAGAACATGCTCATCAGAATTGAAAATTTTGTCATCGCACCTGAAAATATGGTCATCGCACCTAAAAACAAGTCGATCACACCTGAAAACTTGCTCATCGCACCTCAGAACATGTTTATCACACCCAAAAACTTGTTCATCGCAGATTAAACTTGTTCCATGTTCCTCAGATCTTCTCATCGCACCTAAAAATTGGGTAATTGCACCTCAACATGTTCATCGCACAAAAGAACTTGCTCATGGGACCTCAGAACATGTTCATCACACCTCAAAACATGCTCCTCACACCTTAGAACATATTCATCCCACCTCAAAACTTGCTCATTAAACCTCAGAACATGTTCATCACAAAGAAAAACAAGCTCATCATAGCTCAGAACATGTTATCACACAAGAAAACTTGCTCATTGTACCATAGAACTTCATCATGGCACTTCTAAACATGCTCATCGCACCTGAGAATGCATTCATCGCACCTGAGAAATTGCTCAATGCACCTCAAAACATGTTCATCGCATTTGAAAATTTGCTCATCACCCCTTAGAACATGTTCATTGGACCTGAAAACATGCTCATTACAGCTCGAATCGTTTTGATCTTACCAGAAAACTTGTCCAACGATCTTCAGAACATGTTCCTCTCACTTGAAAAGTTACTCACCACACCTCAGAACATGTTCATCGCAACTGTAAAGTTGCTTATCACATGATGAGAATGAAAATTGTCATATTTTTATCCCTTAACATTTAGTCTTTTATACTCATTTAGTGCCTAATTGGACTCACTATGCTTATATTTTGATTTAGGGCACGAAAGGAGGCGTTAGGTGAAAAATAAGGCCAATCGGGTAATTTTGCATAGTTTAGGCACCGCATAGTAATTTGGGCATAACTCTCCCATCCAAACTCCAATTGAGATGATTCAAGATGCATTGAAAAGATAAGGAAATTGTCTACAACTTTCAACTTTCATGTTCTGAGTTTTGATAGATTCGGAATGGATCGGGTTAAAATTGGTCCCAAATTCTCTACAAATTTGTAGAGAAGCCCAATTCGCAGAGAAACCCTAGTTCGCTAGAGAAGACCAACCCAATTCAGCATGCAGTAGTAGGGCCCACTCACTACACCTAATAGAATTTGTCTAAGAGTCTTAATCAGATCTGATTTTTATTGCAATCTTAAAGAAAGAAAAGAGTTAGAGTCCAACTTAGTCAAGAGTTTCTATTTAGAGATAGGGATAAGATTAGATCTGAATTAAGCCTTATCCCATTAGGAGATAAGACTTTCTATTTTTGAGAAGGAACTCCTAAGAGGAGTTGGAAACAGCCCCTCCCCCTAACGCTATAAAAAGGGGGGCGGACTAGCAAAGAGGCACCACTCAATCTTGGGGACAATAACTCAGCAAGCAAGGGAGAAAGAAAGCAGATTTGGAGTAGCCGAACCTCTCTTCTCTTCTCTTCTCTATTCTTTGATTTTTCTCGAGTTTTCACCATGACAAGCGTGGCAAAACTCTAATACTTGGTCAAAGAAAACAGAAGCCTCAGAATCAACCAAACTGTGAGATCTAATTTGACTTTTATTGCACCACAGAACATATTCATCGCTCCTAAAAAGTTGCTTACCGCACCCTATAACATGTTCATTGCACTTCAAAATATGCTCATCGCACCTAAGAACTTGTTGATCAGACATGAAAACTAGCTCATGACACCTTAGAACATATTTATCGCAACTAGAAACTTGATCATCTTAGCTTAGAGCATGCTCATCACACAAGAGAACTTGTTCATCCCACCTCAAAACTTTTTCATCACAGCTAAAAACTAACTAATTGCACATCATAAAATGTTCATCGCACAAAAATCTTGCTCAACGCACCCCAGAACATGTTTCTCACACCTCAAAATTTGCTCTTCACACCTCAGAACATGTTCATTGCAATGTAAACTTGCTCATTGCACCTCAGAACATGTTTGTGACACATGGAAATTTGCTCATTGCACCTTAGAACTTCATCATGGCACTTGAAAACATGCTCATCGCACCTTACAACGTGTTCATTGCACCTGAAAACTTGCTCAACGCACCTCAAAATATGTTCATCGCACTTGAATACTTGCTCATCGCACCTTAGAACATGTTCATCGGACTTGAAAACATGCTCATCCTAGCTCAGATTATTTTCATCGCACCTAAGAACTTGCTCATCGCACTTTAGAATAACTTCATTGCACCCAAAAAGTTACCACGCCTCAGAACATGTTCATCGCAATTGAAAAGTTCATCATCATGCCTCAGAACTTGTTTAACACAATTGAAAACTTGTTCATCGCAACTAAGAACATGTTCATCACACATGAAAACTTGCTTATTTTATCTCCGAAAATTTTCATTGCACCTGAAAACTTGTTCAATGCATTTCAGAACATGTTCATCGCACCTAAAAAGTTACTCACCACACCTCAAAACATGTTCATCGGAACTGAAAATTTGATAATCGCACCTAAGAACATGTCGATCACACTTGAAAACTTGCTCATCGCACCTCAGAACATGTTTATTGCACCCAAAAACTAGATCATCTTACCTTAGAACTTGTTCATCATAGATGAAACTTTTTCCACGCACCTCAGATCTTCTCATCGCACCTAAAAATTGGGTAATTGCACTTCAATATGTTTATCGCACAAAAGAACTTGCTCATTGCACCTCAGAACATGATCATCACACCTCAAAACTTGCTCCTCACGCCTCAGAACATATTCATCACACCTCAAAACTTGCTCATTAAACCTCAGAACATATTCATCACAAAGAAAACAAGCTCATCACTGCCCAGAACATGTTACCACACAAGAAAACTTGCTCATTGTACCATAGAAAATCATCATGGAACTTGTAAACATGCTCATCGCATCTGAAAACTTGCTCAACGCCCCTTAGAACATGTTCATCAGACTTGAAAACATGCTCATTGCAGCTCGCACCATTTTCATCTTACTTGAAAACTTGTCCAATGAATTTCAGAACATGTTCCTCTCACTTGAAAAGTTACTCACCACTCCTCAGAACATGTTCATCACAACTGTAAAGTTGCTTATCACACCTTAGAAAACGTTCATTGTCCTTCAAAATTTGCTCATCGCACATCAATATATGCTCATCGACCTAAGAACATGTCAATCACACCTAAAAACTTGCTCATCACACCTCAGAACATGTTTATCGCACCTAAAAACTTGATCATCTTACCTTAGAACATGTTCATCAGACATGAAAACTTGTTCCTCATACCTAAAAACTTTTTTGTCGCACCTAAAAAACTAGCTAATTGCAGCTCAACATGTTCACCCCACAAAAGACTTGCTCATCGCACCTCAGAATTTGATCATCACACCTCAATACTTGCTCCTCACACCTCAGAGCATGTGCATCACACATGGAATCTTGCTCATCGCACCACAGAACATGTTCGTCACAAAAGAAATTTGCTTATTTTACCTCAGAACATCATCATTGTACCTAAAAACTTATTCATTTTTCCTCAAAAGAAGTTTATCACACCTAAAACTCTTTTCGTCACACTTCAGGACATGCTTATTATACCAGAAAACTTTCTCATCTTACCTCAAAATAGGTTTGTCGCACCTAGAAACATGTTCATCTTACCTAAGAACATGTTTATCGCACCTAAGAACATGTCAATCACACCTGAAAACTTGTTCTGAGGTGCGATGAGCAAATTTTTTCGTGCAATGAACAAGTTTTAGGTGTGATGAAGGAGTTACAAGGTGCGACGAACAAGTTTTCATGTGTGATGAACATGTTCTATGGTAAAATGAGCAACTTTCAACGTGCAACGATCATGTTCTAAGGTGTAATGAGCAAGTTTTCAGGTGTTACTAACTTGTTCTGAGGTGCGATGAGCATGTTTTTAGGTGTGATTAACTTGTTCTTAGGTGCGATGAGTGAGTTTTGAGGTGTAATGAATATCTTCTAAGGTGCGATGAGCATGTTTTTAGGCGCGATGAACTTGTTTTGAGGTGTGATGAGAAAGTTTTCAGGTGTGATGATAATGCTTTTAGGTGTAGCGATGAGCATGTTCTAAGGTGTGATGAGCAAGTTTTTAGGAGTAATGAAAATGTTCTAAGGTGCGATGAGGAAGTTATCAAGTGCGATTATCATTTTCTAAGGAGCGAAGAGAAGGATTTCAGTTGCATTGAACATGTTTTGAGGTGCGATGAAAAAGTTTTCAGGTGTGATGAACATGTTGTTTGGTGCAAAGACAAAGTTTTTAGGTGCGATGAACAAGTATTTTGGTGTGATGAAGATGTTCTGAGGTGCGATGAGGAAGATTTCAGGTGCGATGAACATGTTCTGAGGTATGACGGACAAAGTTTTAGGTGCAATGAACATGTTCTAAGATGCGTTGAGAAAGTTTCCAATGAACATCAATTTATTAAACTAACCAAGATAATTTATTATTTTCATAAGCTGAAGTTTTTCCTAATTTATTTAATATTCCCTTCCATGATATATCAAACATACTTCTATCAAGTAACCCTTCGATTCCTCGATTAGAGTTCTTGAGATAGAAAGTGCGTTAAGTTCTATGAAAGTGCGTTAAGTTCTATGAAAGTGCGTTAAGTTCTCGATTAGAGTTCTCTACGAATTTGGTCAGACTTCGGGCCCGATTTTGACTTTGATTCAGTCCGAATATATCAAAACTCAAAACATGAAAGGTATAGAGTTTTTCCTTATCTTTCCAATGCATCTTGAATCATCTCCAACGAAGTCTAGATGAGAGAGTTATTCCGAAATTACTATGCGGCGCCGAAACTGTGCAAAATTACCCGATTAGCCTTGTTTTTCTTCTGACGCCTTCTTTCATTCCCTGAATCGGAATACAAGCATAACGAGTCCAATTAAGTGCATAACGAGTCCAATTAAGTACTAATTAAGTTTAAAAGACTGAATATTTAGGGAAAAAAATATTATAATTTTTATTCTTATCAAATCCCCCCATACTTAAACCTTGCCCGTCCTCGGGCAAGACAAAATTCAAGCAAACACAAAACAAACAACTAGAGTCCATACTCCATTGGCCAACATCTAGTTCATCTAAGCTCTCATGGCCTCCACCTTCTAGGAATCTATGTCCAACATAGCTTCTGCATAAGTCACGGGATCCTCCTCACTTGTCAAGGCTTCCACCAAGTAACTATCCTGGTCATAACTATAACGGACTGGTGGCCTGGATACCCGGGTGGATCTTCTAGGTTGGTCACTACCTGGAACTTGTGGGACATCTCCCACTGCTCTTGAGCTCTCCTCATCAAGAAC